GAATTCATAGTTTGAAAAAAATCAGAAAATCTGGAGAAAATAAGGGGGGGGGCAGGAGAAATGAGAGTAAAGAAGATTGAATGTGTTGGAAAAGAAAACCTGCAAAAATTGGATGGGAGAGGGGGGAAGGGGGCAGGGTGTCAGGTGAATATTATACACATGAAACGATTAAATTGAAAGATAAAGGGTTAAGCAGAAATGTATAAAACAATGAATGCAGATGTGTAAGCGAAAAGACAAAAATGTAAGGTAAATGAGAATATAAGTCGATAAAATTTGAAATTTGAATTTAAAAACGAATCGGAAATAGGGTTGAAAAGAAAACGGAATACGGTTGAGTAGAAGGGAGGAAGGAATCAGAGGGAGAAACATGAGAAGGATAGATCTTGTCTGAACGTTGTTCTAACAGTAACAGAATTGTATTTGAATGAAATAGAGTATAGAGCAGCTGCTAATGTATTATTCTTAAAATATATTTTACATTTCTTTAAATCCTCAAATTTAAAAAAAGAAAGTTAAAAAAAAATTCTGTTTTGAAAGTGTTAGAAAAACATATTTAGTAAAAATCCCAGAGTTTTGTGCTTCTATTCCAGCTGCGTTAAAATTGCGCTTGTTTTTGTAATGAGGAATATGTAGAATAAATAAATAGAACTAACACTGTATTGTTCATCAATACTTCAAAGCCAAGGTCAAGCACTTCCCAGGACTTCGAAACAGAACAATAAACAAAACTTTGCGTAATACGCAGGAAATATACGCAACTTGCGTACACAACAATCAATCATTGTTTAGGGATATTTCGACAATGTCTTGTAATCACTTTATGATTAAATTTTATTAATACGTTATCAGCTGCCTGTTTCAGTTTTACACGAAGCAAATCATAAATTTTACTTTCTTAACCCCGTCTGTTAATTTGTTGGGTTTCTTTTCGATTTTTCGGGAATTTACTCTAAATACAAGGTTATAATGCAAGGAAAGTTATTTCAGAGGTGTACGCATCTTTTGTTCTGTACTGTCTCTGGGCGGTAATTTAAACACTAGACGGATGCCGAAGCCTGAAATGGGATCCATCTTTCACATAAAAGATCAATGAAATATTCTCTTCATAGGAAACTATTTTATGAATTATCAAAATAATCAAATTAAATGCTTTTAATCTCATTGGATGCTAAACGAACAATGTTGCATCTATTATTGTTTACAAATTCTGCCCAGAGAGAACTGATTTCAATATGTATACAGAGTATACGCAACTGCAATTAATTTTCCTTACATTATAACCTTGACTAAATATATGTATTCAAAAATAAAGAGAAGAATGGACTCAAAACTTATGAAATATTATAATTGTTTAGGGAAAAGTATGAGGTGAGTTGAACACTCCCATCTGGGAGAGAATGCCTTAATCTTATTGTAATCGGTTTAGAATATAGTTCCTTTAATAAAAAGAATGTAAAAAATATTCTGAAAACCCCCTTCAAGCATATATGTAGTTGTAATCAAGTGAGAGGGCAATACAAGATAATGGAACATATCGTTGAATCCTTTTTTTCTGCGTATTGACCATACTAAAATACAAAATTATCCTTTTTTCTGCGTATTCACCATACTAAAATACAAAAATATCCTTTTTTCTGCGTATTCACCATACTAAAATACAAAATTATCCTTTTTTCTGCGTATTCACCATACTAAAATACAAAAATAAACTTTTTTCTGCGTATTCACCATACTAAAATACAAAAATATCTTTTTTTTCTGCGTATTCCCTATACTAAAATACAATAATATCCTTTTTTCTGCGTATTCACCATACTAAAATACAAAAATATCCTTTTTTTCTGCGTATTCCCTATACTAAAATACAAAAATATAAAATTTTTAAAAAATGAGCTGATTTGCTTTAAATCAATAAAAATTCAATGGCACTTACTGCTGTAAGGAGTGGTTCACTTCAAATACCAGGCCGACTTTTAACCAGTTAGAGCTAGGTGTACAGGTGTACAGTACACATACAGACTATTTGGGGCAAAATGGGACAGTGTAGACCCAAAGAAATAGCCCCTTTTAGATAAATTTTAGTGACACCCACCCATTCTTAGTATCCTTATTCTATATATGCTTCACGAATGAGTTATAATATGGTTTGTATAAACACTTACTCAAGGTTAAAGAAACACTAGAGATACAAGGGAACAAATCATCAGTATAAGAGTACTATTGGAGGCTCTCAGTATTTCATCTGAGACTATTATTATCTTCAAGAGATTCATTGATCATTGATCATTGATCCCCAAATATTCATCTAAAAAATCTCGGAGTTTATTTTATTGTACTACAGAAAATCTGGGGGTTTCCTAGCTAAGAAAATACAGGAATTTCCGGTTAATCTCTTCATTATTACTTCGTCTTTAACATGTAGTAATTATAGACAAATCAAGCCAAGTTTTGCCTTGGTCAATATTTTTGTTCTATATACATATTCATTTTTGATGTGATTTTATCAATAACTAAATGAAATGCCCGGCGTTCCCCGTGGAATTTGTTTAAATGAAATTTTACAAAAATTTCGATTTTTGGAAAAAAAATCGAATTTAAGCCTTTGTAACTCCCGGGGCACCCATGGGTTCCCTAAAAAAAATTCAGTCCATTCGGCTATAGGGAACAGTTATATGAATGTCCTGTTTATTTTATAGATTGCTCAAGAAAAAAAAAATGATCAAAATTTTAACATTTTTATAAAAAATTATATTCTTATTAGATATTAGTAGTGTCTGGGGGGTCCGATATGATACCAGTGGGGGTCTAAGATGAAAAGGGTCATCATAGCTAGTCCTCCAATGATGAATATTTATTCTCAGACTCAAAAACAACATTATTTTAAAGATTAGAGAATTAAATGATGAATGAAAATTATACTGTATCTATCAATACGCGTCTATTTTGAATCATGTGATTACTCTGGGTTCAAATGAAAGCTACAAAAGACGAGTTTTAATTTAACTCCCCTGTTTCTAGCCAGCATTGAATAGAGTTATGAATATGCATAGACGATATATATTCTTGAGGACGGGTTCAATGATCAGTTTGTTTATTTATCTCAAGAAAGATGTGTCTACAAGCAATGATTTATGCAACATTGGGCGGAATATTTTGCAAAATGTTTAAATTATATCAATTTAAACCAGTTTATTCAACTTGTCCTTAAAGCTTATAAAACTTTGCATTTATGTTTTTTCTTAAATTTGCAAACATATATTGCTTGACATTCATGACTCTAGACCAAATAATCCAAGTTTGAAATATCAAAGGTTTATACCATCAGATTGTAAAGATATAGGGATTAGACAATTTGATTTTGTGACAAAAACTCCTTCCTTTTTTATTTTTATTTGAATGTTCCATTGAACCTTTTCTAGTAGCTTATATTGAATGAACTCATACTTTAAGATTAACCATGTGCAGTGCATACAAGTCGATCAGATAACATAACGCAGACTAATCATGTCAAATTGTAATCCTTACATTTTAGGATTATATTTTTGTTTCAATGGTTCATCAAACAACTCAAAATAGACCTAAAACACTTTAAGTTAACAACAGTAAACCCTCAGAACTAATAAAATCAAGGAAGAATGAATGAACTGAATAATGATAAACTTAAACCCTGATTGTGTGTTCGCAATTGAAGAAATATGAAATGTAAAACTTAAAGGAACTGTAAACATAATATCAAGTTGCCCTCCATACAAAGATGGCAATGCTCGATTCACAACGATACCTTTTAAAGCTTTGTCTGTTCAAGAATGAATTAAAATCAATGTTTACAATTTTGAAAACCTTTTTTAAATTTGGATTTCTCTACAATTTGCGCATTTTTCCAGCAGGCAAGCCCTTTGGAATTGTCATAACAAACTCTTTTAAATCTATAAAAACGTCAAATCAGTTTCAAGGGTACCGTTGTGAATCGGGCATTGCCATCTTTGTATGGAGGGTCACTTAAACATTACCCTTGCAGCATTATTTCCATATTGTTATTTAAAATAAAGTAAAACTTTAGAAAGTAAATTTCTTATTTTCATTCCTTGTTTAACCCAGATTTTGATTTACTTTAATTCTTACACGTTTTTTTGATTGAATCTAAATTATTACGTTTTCTTTATCGGTACTTGTTGCAATTCTAACTTCTCTCAAGCCTAACACTAAAATTTAAATTTTAAATCCACGGTTTATTACAAAAAAAGCAGATCACAGCCTTTTCAAGAAACCATCAGCACAAATGGGGTAGTTTTCTCAAAAATCCAAAATCTCCAAATATCTATTTTTGTTTAATTTTAGAAACCATTTCGCTGCTTTAGAATTGTCTTTCAAATTTTTCTTTTTTTTTGTTAAAAAGCTGAGCTGAAAAAATATATCATGGCTTTGCTGGATCAGGGGGGTTAAATATTTTAGTTTTTAGCTTTTAAAGCTGAGAGAAAAGACCAAAATCTATTTAAAAGTTCTAAAATTATACAAATATATACACAGAGGTATTCTAGTCTATAAAATAAAACTAGCAAAGATGAGACTCAAAATATTTAAATTACACCACTGGTACAATGGCAAAGGAAGAGATTATACATAAATGTATTGTAAATATGAATGCCGAGTAAGTGAGAAGTTTTAACTAACTTTTATAATTGGTCCAAATTGTTTCAAGGTTTGAATAAAAATCAACAACATTTTAAGAATGGGGGCATTTGGTCACCAAGCATACTTTTTGGTATGAATAACGAAACAAAGTAAACACGAAATCGAGTTTGGATTGGTAAACGAGGAATATAAATAAAACAATAGAATCTAATTTTGTTAAACCAGATAATTTCGTCAAACTACTCATTTTCAGATTTTTACAACAAAGGCAACATTTCCACAATCAATCTCTTTAAGCGTTCATTTCACTGTTTTTTTGCCTCCTCATGGTTCATTAATTTGGCTTGGATTGTTTAAAACTGAGGAACTTTTCATGTGTTCTATTATATACATATACACTATATATTCACTGGAGCGCACATCACATGGGTCTGAGTTGAGATAAATGACTAAGTGTAGAGTTGGTAAGCTTTTGTAATCAGTTAGGAAGGAGAACTACGTCAATTATCGAACAATCTGAAACAGAAGGTCATTGAATATTAAATTCTTTGCATAGAAGATTTAAGAGATTTAAAAAATCCAGTATCTTTCTCCGGCAATATGGATTAGAATCCCCAACATGCCATTTCATCTTAAAGCTTGCTTAAAAGTTATAATGATAGAAATTTATATAAGTCGTTGATACAGTAAATTTTCTTTGCAACCTAAAGATATGAACATCTGTTTTGTCGAAAGGAATTGAATTTTTGTCACAAACTTAGATCTTCCAATATGATTCCAATATTTTTTGCAACCTTATGGTGCAACCTTTGATATTTCAAACTTAGATTATTTTATCTATAAGTATTAATAGTTTGAAATATCTTAGGTCTACGGCATCGGGTTACAAAGATATGGAGATTAGAAAATCAGAGTTTGTGGCAAAAACTCAATTCCTTTGACTACTTGCTCTGCAAAACTTTTAGTTTGAAATATCAAAAGTCTTCAACGTCAAGCTGCAAAGATAATAGAATAAGAACATAAGAGTTGAGGCGAGTAATCAGTCCCTTTAAATAGACTGTGAGCGTACTTTGAAGTGACCCTTCATGCAAAGATGGCAATGCCCGATTTACAACGGTACCCTTAAAAGATTAGTCTTATCAAGTATCAATTAGAAATCCATTTTTTTTGTTTTTTTAATCTGTTCATTTTTAATTGTTGTTTGTCTGAAAAAGTGACTTGCGCAATTCATGCTTATATACAAGAACCAGTGGCGAAATTAACGGAAATGAACACTTTTTAAGTCAGAAAACGACATTACTTAACACATTTTTTATTAGATTACGGTTTCAAGGGTACCCTAGGAAATCAGGCATTTATATCTTTGTATAAAGGGTCACATTAAGTTGCCATTAAGCCTATTCTGTAAATTACAAACTTTGGTAATTCAATTATATATTTGAAGATTTATTATGTATATGTAAATTTGGTTTTGTATGTAGTATGTACATGTACACATTTGCATTTACAGTTGTGATGAATTTACATCTAGTTAGATACCCAAGAGGGTGTATAGCTTACCTAAAGTACCAAGAGAAGAGCAAGTAGAATCGATATATAGATGGCTAGGGAGCTAGATCCAGATGTAATTCCCTCTTGTTTAGGTTCTAAATTAAAAATTAAAAATTTAGATTTAAAAAAAATAAAAGGTCGATTTAATTAAAGTTAATAAGGATTGAGTTCAATGAAATGGAGAGATTATTGAACTACTTACCACCAGTTCAAATCCGGAATCCCCGATTTAAATCCTCATTAATCTTTAACTTTGAATCGGTGATTTAAGATTTGAACCGGCGATAGATAGTTCAGCGACCTAGCTCAAATTCATTAAATTTTGTCACGGTTTTAAAATAAATTAATGGAACTCTTTCAGAAATCGACGTTTTGATTGGTCATGATAAAAGATCAAACTGATCAAATTTAGTTTAATGTATTTTGCAAAAGATGTTTGTAAAAAAAAAAAAATCAATCTTAAAAACCACCACTTACCTTATATATAAGTAAATGTTATACATATTTGTTAGTGTTGATACAAATTACTTACAAATTAATTTTAATTTATAGGTTTTTAATTTATATCAGTTTATGGTAGGAATTGTAAAGAATTAATTATAATATGAGTAATAAACTGATATTGAAGAAGTTTGTTCGTTGACTTAATCAGATCACATCTGTAGTCAATGTTAACAATAACTTTACATGATGTAGAATTTTTAAAAACAAATATTAAAACAAAATCTACGAAATATGATAAAGGTCTTAGCGTATTAGAGGTTAATAACATTGTTCTCATGCATGTCAGTGTTAGTTTTCATGCATAAATGAAATGTTTGAAGAATTTTTTTAAAGTTTAATTTCGAGTCTCTATTGTAAGGTTCAAAGTTAGATCTTTGAGAGTTTTGTCGAAGGGATTTTCAAAATTCTTAAGACTGCCCCCCCCCCTTCTATTATCTTAATCACGCCCTCTATATAACGATCTGTGTTTCTAGTGCATAACTGGTGTTTGTCATTTTCCTTTATAAACGTACGCACTACGCATTGCTTGCATGCAAAGGCTTGTATTTGTGTTCATCTATCAAATATTCCCTGTTTACACCATTTATTGCTTTTACGGAATCAAGCATGCAGTTAAAGATGTTTGCGGTGCTCAAGAAATCGCAATAAAAAATCTAAAATGTGTCTTTGCTTTTAAACCTTAAATTTTATTAAGAAATAAAAAAAGAATGTTTTTGCTTAAAATAGAAAAATCTATTAATGAAGCTATAAAAGGCTTTCTCTCCTCAAAATCCCTCTTTCTTCCACAAAAATACATATTTCGCCATCAAAAATAGTAACACTGCCAAGTAACCTCCTGGTAAAGTGTGTAAGGTAAACTAAAACTTAAATCTCAATGCAGTATTGCGTACTATGAGACCTATCAGCATAAACAGATGATATGGATATAGCAAAGACGACATTTTCTTCTAGATCTGTTTATTTATTCATCTACACTATGTAGTCTTGTTGATTCAAGACATACTGGCAAATGACTAATCTGTTAAGTAAATCCTGAAAGGCAATATCTATAGGCAAATCTTATATTTCCCCTGCACCATATAACAAATATCCCCCCCCCCCTCCCCTATACAACAAATATTCCCCCTCTCAAGTATGAATAATCCCTTGGTGTTTACCACTTCAGGAAGAACACCTCTTTCTCAGAAACCCCCCTCCCCTCCCCCTCCCTGCCAAAAAACATGACACCACAACCACCAAAAACAAAGTTTGAGTTTTACAAATATCTACAATTATTTCTAAAAGCATGCAAAATCTCTAAATTGATATTCTCTTTGAACATGAATTATAGCGAAGAACACACTGCGAATAAATAGCTGCATAGTTGGTGCATAGTGTCAGGGTGATCGATTAAAATTTTTTTTGGGAAATCAGCTAATCGCCCACCAGAGGTCCAGAGGAAGCATATTGAATAGACTTTATGTCAAATTTTAGCCTTCTAAGTTGAAAAACATTTTCTGATAGCCCAAGAGATGAAATAAAAATTTGATGCATAGGTAATTTTTGTTCGAGTCGTACCTCATTTTCTTGTGAATTTTAAACTGAATTCAGATTCGAAAAACAATGTAGAAAAATTGTAATTTTTAAAGCTTTTTAGGAGAATTTTCAAATTTCCAAGAAAATAAAGGTAAAGCATGAAATTTTTAAAAAACATTTTTTGTCTATGTAGTCATTTTTTAATTTAGTTTTTAGGCCTATCAAATTTAAAAAGCATATTTAAGCATAACTCCTATTCAATATCTTAACTATGGACCTCTGATGACCGGGCATTAAGCTGATTTCCAAAACTTAAAAAATCGATACTCTAGACTGTATAGTGTATAGCGAAGCTAACTGACACATCAGCAATATTTTTATTTACAAAGCTTCAAATAGAAGCGTCTACCTTTGTTGATCTCTGACGTAGAATCTCCAACCGGGGTTTTATCTAAATCTACAATAACATTCAAAACTAGTGAGGAAGGATCAACACACTAAATTCAAACTTAAAAAAACACATTTGTGTCTACATTTTTTTTGTTTAAAAAAGTTAGGATGTAAAAAGATCTGTTAAGTACAAAAAAAAAATTTGATAAAACCAAAATTCACACAAATGAAAAATATTTTATGTTAATAACATGTTTCTTTTTTGCTGATATTGAATTAAAGTTGTGAATACAGCAGAAATAGAGTATATAACGCAGCAAAGAAAACATGGGAGTTGCCGCAATTTATTAAATTATGCGGAGATGACATTCAATATGGCGGAGATAATTCAAGAATTTATTCCAGTCTTTGTTTCAACATTGCTCAATGCTCATTTATACAGACGAATCACACCCAGTGTAAAATTTAAATATTTTAAAATTAAAAACTCATGATCAAACATTTTGAGCAGTATAACAATTGGATTTTTAAAACACAGTCACATGTACACTTATACACGACTTATGTGCAATAAACTGAATCAAATTTGCAACATCTGATGTAAATATAAGTTTATGCTAAAAAGATATTGCTAAAACATGCATTTAATATGTCGCAAATAAAATAAAATATTTATGTATTGTTCGATATTATAATGTAATTATGTGAGCGATTAACACCACCGTATGTAATATGTATCTATATTTAGATTGAAATGTATCCAATTTTCATGCAGAAGTGCATTGCATTCTTTATTTGAAGTTTCAACCGAACCATCTCCATTTTAAGTAATTAAGTTCTAAGATGCCATTTTGCATAAATTAGTAAAGTAATCTAAATCTGAACCAACCTGCTCCCTTGGTTGCAAAATGGAAGGTTGGAGATGGTTTACTCCATCCTTCATCGTTCCTGCTGGATACTCGGGCCTCGTATCTCGTAGCTTCTTCGATCTCCTTCAGAAAATGTTTCCCAGCAAAGTGGTAAGGTCCGTCAGGAATAGGCGTGGCAGAGGCTTCTGCCCAGGCGGTAACGCCCTCTCGTCTTGTTTCCACCCTGAAGGCGGTAACAGGAGAGTAGGAGACAACGGACCACTCCAGGACGTATGAGTTTTTTTCTAAACCTCCGGGTTTAGATTTAAACTCTGCAGGCCGAGCCAAACCTAGAGGGAAATTAAGCTAAAGCAAGCAAAATAACAACAACATGCTGTTTAAGAAAACTTTGTCCTGAGTTTCTCACATTCCAAGTTTAATTGAAAAAAGTTTGATTGTATTCCGGAGATTACTTAACATGACTTCTCTCATTGCATCTTTATTTTACTGAGACCTTATGATTTAAAAAGAATTTTTGAAATTAAAAGAATTGACGACCATTCTTCAATTAATACTAGTCTTTTTACTTTAAAAAAATCAACATTTAATACAGAAAGCTCGATTGAAGCTTTAATAATTTTATGTGAGGCAAAACAGAAACTTTTGTGGTAGTTTTAAAGTTTCTTTTCTGAGTGAATAAGTGCTGAAAAAGTAAAAAGCTGAATTTTCTACCTGAAATTTCGATAGTTTCGGAGGCTGATCCTTTTTCTGAGTTTGCATGACAGGAGTACACTCCAAAATCTTCCTTCTCCACCGAGCTGATGATCAAAGAATGCCTAAAAAATAACATTATATAATTTAGGTTTATTAGTTTGCAGGCCTGGATTGCAAATTAAATGAAGTTAAGTTAAAGGAAAGTTTACTGCCTCTGCAATAGTGCCCTAATGGTTCAATTCTCTTCTAGTCACGTATTATTTCATTCTTCGGGGAGGAATAAAATTGTAAATGGGAGTTTAGCTACGTCTACGTTAAAAAACAGGATTATAAAGTTGAAATTTGGAAAAGAAAAAATATGGTGAAACAGGACTGTAAAGCTTTATTATTGGGAAAAGATACCAGGAATATGAAAGTAATGCAATTTAAACAGTCAACCAGATGGTAGGAAACAGGACTGTAAAGTTTTATTATTGGGAAAAGATAGCAGGAATATGAAAGTAATGCAATTAAAATAGTTAGACAGATGGTAGGAAACAGGACTGTAATGTTATTATAAGACAGGACAGGACTGATAATCAGGACTGTAGTGTTGGTATAAGACAGGACAGCTTTGAGGAACAGTACTGCAATGTAGGTATAAGACAGGACAGGACTGATAAATAGAACAGCAGTGTAGGTATAAGACAGGACAGGACTGATAAAAAAGAACTGTATGCGTAAAGTGTTGTTATTATCAAAATGGACAACGTTGAGTTTCTGTAAGAGAAGAAACAGAGATTACTATTAAAGAATGATGAAAATGTGAGTAGCTAGACTGCATATAAGAATAACAACAAAAAAAGCTATATTGTATTAAAGAATTTTGCCACCCAGTGCTTTAAGCTTAGTCTAGAATAAATTTAGACTCAAGGGTCTGTATCTGTCCTGCTTATCTTGATCCTGGGCCATAAATCAAGAATTTATTCTAGTTTTATTGTAATGTTATTGTAAACAATCCCCTATAAATGTACAAAGCCCAGACTGGAAAGTTTTGCAATAAAAAGAACTCGGTTACATTGTTTTAGGTTAGTTAAAGGGGTGTTCACATAATTAGAGTCAAGATTAATCAAGCTTTTCTAAACTTACTTTGAGTGCACATTCTGAATCTTGAGTTTCGAGCTTGAATCAATGGATTGTCCATCCTTCTTCCATTCTACAGTAGGACGGGGTGTACCATGAACATTGCAAACTAACTCTGCCTCATTTCCTAAAAATTAAAATGTAAAAAGTTAAACTTGAGAATATTTTGCCATACTTGAATAAACCTTCAATAAAAAATGTTAGTTATTAGACGTTCAAAAAAACTATTTTACCATTAAAATTTTGAATAAAGAATATGAATTTTAACCCACTTAAACTTTTTAATAATTACAAATCTGTTTTGAATAATTACAAACATGTTTTGTATAATTACAAACCTGTTTTGTATAATTATCTGTTTTTTTATAATTACAAATCTGTTTAGTATTATTACAAACCTGTTTTTGTATGCACAAATACTTCTTCAACGACAATCTCAGGCTTGTACAGTACTCTTAACTCAATTTCCTGTACAACGGAAAAATGAAATATTAAAAGAAACTTCACATTGTTGTAAACAAAAATATTATTCTCTATTTTCAAACTGCAAATTCAATCCGCATAAAGATTAAACAAAATAAAAAGTTCCAAAAAGAAACAGTGAACATAATTTCAAATAATCCTCCATTTATAAAATGCACATGTCCAATTCTCAACGAAACCTTAAAAGTTTTGACTCATCAAGAATGAATGAGCTATCCATATTTTTCTCTTTTTAAAATTCAATTGTTTTGAATTGAGATTTCTCTTAAAAAGTGAAAAAAATTTGATTAAAATTTCCAAATTAAAAACATTTTAAGCTTTTTCATTATTAATTAGATAAAGATTTAAAGGCTAATTTTGGGAATCGGACATGCCTCCCTTTAAATGAAGTATCACTTCAAATTACAAATTTTTTAAATTACATTCTTTTTATTGCCCCGACGCGACGGTCCATAATAAATCATGTTTGCAAGATGTGAGCTTGCATATATCCAGACAAACCGAGGGCATCATTATATATATTAGAGAACAAACAATCAAACAGACAATTTTTAGTTTTCTTAAAGGGACTGTAAGCGTTATTTTAAGTGGCACACCAAACAAAGATGGCAATGCCTGATTTACAACGGTATCCTTAAAAGCTTTGTCTGTTCAAGTATGAATTATATATCAATATGTATAATTTTGAAAACTAATTATTTATATGTGCTTTTTTTTTACAAAATTGACTTGCGCATTTCTACCACGGAAAAACATTAAAAACAGAATTAAACATTTTCTTACACATTGATTAGATAAAGTATTCAATGGCACCATTGTGAATCAGGCGTTGTCACCTTTGCATTGAGGGTTTCTTGAAATTAAGCTTTAACTATTAAGTACTTACTTTTGATGCCTCCTTACTAAAACCGTTCTCAGCTGAACACCTGTATACGCCGGCATGATGTCTGTTCACGTTGGAGATAGAAAACGTCTCTCCAATCAGCTCCTCCTTACCATCAGGCATAGCCCCTTTGCCCTAGATTTTATCAAATTAATCACTCAGAAAACATAAAAGGCTATGAGGGCGCAAATTATGGATCTGCAGTTCTGCGTAAAATATTCTTTACTTTTTTTTAAAAACAGATTCAATAAATGAGCAGATTGCATTTCTGATATCAATCATAACTTTTCTTATTGAAGAGTTTTTGAAAAGAAATGTGTTTTCTCTTACAATTGTGCGTAAAATAAAAAAAGAGGAGCTACGAGGGAACAAAGTTGGACCAGTAAGATGGCATAAATTTAACCTTCTCCTTTAGCTAGTTTGCAGAGAACAGATAGAAATTGTAAATATTGAAAATGTTGTTAAGTTACTTTAAATTATTGATATAAAAGCAGATATATTTCATCATCACCGAATCTATTCAAATTGAAATGATTAGGTTGGATACTGTCGGTTTAAATTATGTAAAACATATTTCTAAAATATTTATCTATTCATTTATGTATTTATCTAAGATATATAACCGTCGATCTATCTATTCATCTATCTTTCTATCTATTTATCTATTTATCTATGTCTGAGCCCCTACATTTTTCTGACATGTCTGTATATGTATATGTACCATCACGTCTAGATTAATAAATAGTTTAACGTATATATTAATATATATGTTTCTATCTATCTATCTATCTATCTAACTATCTATCTATCTATCTATCAGATCACATCCTCTTTTTACTGCAACAAATGTCTTTAGAATTCCTTTTATTCAATATCTGTCAGAAAGGTATATGTATGAAATATGTAAATGCATAAGGAATATATTTGACATAAATATATGCATTTTTTATATTTCTTTACACTAAATAGACATATGCAGATATGAATTAAATAGACATATGCAGATATGAATTAAAACACTTCTTTACTGAATCGAAACTTGCAGATCTTTGTGTTGAGATGAAAGAATAAATAATGGAATAAATTCGACGATAATAAATCAAACTTGTATTAGAATAAATCATAAATCTAATTTAAACCCCAGTTTAGCTACGTCTACGTTAAAAAACAGGATTATAAAGTTGAAATTTGGAAAAGAAAAAATATGGTGAAACAGGACTGTAAAGCTTTATTATTGGGAAAAGATACCAGGAATATGAAAGTAATGCAATTTAAACAGTCAACCAGATGGTAGGA